CTGGTTCAGCACCGCAATCTCTACAAATACTTTTAGGACAACAAGACGGTGGCGTGTTTTTCGATCGTGAATTTAGTAGCAACATAACACAACAACAACCACCACCATCACAAAATCAGTGGGATACACCGGATATTGGACGTAAGTCGCCGCAGTCGTCATCACAACATTGTTGGCCAACATTAATGCCACAACAGCATTCATCGATTGCTCAATATCACGACGACGAAAGAAATTATCCTAAGCCTCTACCGCATTTAGATTTTACTTCACAGACACAACAATATCCCTATCCTCAGCAGCTACCATACAATCATCCAAATAACGAGACTTTACCTCACATTAATCGTAGTATATCTTATCCACCTGATAGTAACTTTACGCCTACAACTCCGGATGATGGTACTATGAATAATTTTCCATTATTACCTAATGGACTAACTCAACAACAACAAACCGATTTATATTTACAAGCATATTTTTCGGCACAACAAGTATTGAAAGGGCGGCAACCACAGCCACAACAACAAATGGATATTATAGGTCAACTAGAAAGACTGCACCTAACACCTCAATCACCACACCAACAATCGTTAGATCCATCTGTTTATGGTCAAACACAATCTCCATTTGATCCTCGTACACAATCACCGTCACAATCTACAATGTTTCGTTCTCCACTACCATCGCTTCCAACATTTGCCGCTACTCCACAGCGTTATCAATTTCCATCACAAATGGTTGGTTCACGTTTCGATCAAGCAAACTATCGTACAACAAAAAGTGGAAAACAGCACATTGGTCCCGATGGTTCAAATTTGTTTATATGTCATTTGCCACAAGATTACACTGATATACAATTGAATCAAATGTTTTCACAATTTGGTAGGTCTTTACTACTTTATTTTGAACACTCTTTTGACGTCTCTGCATCTTTGTTTCTAGGTCATGTATTATCAGCTAAAGTGTTTGTTGATAAAAAGACGAATCAGTCAAAATGTTTTGGTTTTGTCAGCTATGATAATCCAAATTCAGCATTTACTGCTATTACACGAATGGATGGCTACAGTATTGGTTCAAAACGTTTAAAAGTCGAATTAAAAAAGGCAAGAAGAAATTCATAAATTACAAGTATGCTGTGTGTGTGCGTGTGTGTGTGTGTGTGTGTTTTCTGAGCAGAGAAGAACAGTAGTCGCTTGCCCCTCTAAACTTGATCTGATGGATCTGTAACAGACAAGGCCTAGATCTGTATTTGTGTGTGATTTTATGTGTCTCAATTATGTTCTCTGAAAGAGTGTGTCAAGAGCTTTTTTTTCCTGTTTATGTTGCTGTTATTTCATGAAAAATGTTTTAGAATCATCGCTTTTAATCGTTGTTTTTTTTTATAAAAATTATATATTTAATTTATTTATTTATTTGTTCTACTTTGTTTGCATGTAACGTGTGCTTCTTGTTTTTTCTTTTTCGTATACAGAGAGGGATAGAGAAAAGAGAGTGTTTAGGACGATAATTATTCAACATGCAACAGAGAGAGGCTCCAATCTTGCCATTTTGTTCATAGGTAAAATGTGTTTTCTCTATTTGTGACACAGTACACTACACATACGTTTTTAAGTAAGTGAGAGAGAGTTGTGTAGATTAGTTCTCTATTCTACTTTTTCTGAAAACCGATTTTTATCGACTGATTGTTTTTTTGCTTGCACAGTGTTTTTTCAACAACAAAAAAAATATTTCCTGTCTTTCGCCGTTCTATTTTAGTGTTATTTATTTATAGTGTGTGTTTTGAACTTTTTTTTTTAGCGAGTTTGTTTGTTTTTCTCACACATGTACCACTTTTTTTTTCGTGTTTAAATTTTTCTGGCTTTTTTTGCTGTTTTGCTGTAAACAAACAACAAAAAAAATGTGTTATCTGTTGACAAAAAAAAACACCGTGTTTTTTTTTCTCCTTAATGTGTATTCTCTATTTGGCTGTTTTTATTGCTCTTGTTTGTTGCTGCTGTGTTTAACATAAATACATTACTATACAGATGAAAAAGGAGACGAGTAGTGAACAAAATTTGGAGTCATATCAAGTCTTGTTCTAAAGACTTTTTTTATAGTTCGGCCATCCGAAAATAACCAGTTGATTTCGTTTTAGCAAACATTTTTTAGCTAACAGCCCCTTCGAAAATTTCAACCGCTTACTCCAAAAACGAAACCTAGATAAAACACTGGTTATGTATCTTGTCTTACTACAGATGGTTTTTTATTTTGATCAGAGACTTTTCAATACTGAAAATAACAATTCAACACTTCAACTACAGAAAACAAAAATACAAAAGACGTTTTAAAAGTAAAACAGATGAATTATGCGTAAAAAATGACGAGAGTTAAACAGCTGTGTCTAAATATCAAGAATATGCATTATTTTTAAGAGGCCGCTAATTCAAAAATGCAGCAAAATTTCTTTTTGGCTTTATCATACATAGTTGGATAGAGCGCATCGAGGTGACACGAATATATAAAAATGATGTTTGAACGATCATAGAGCCAAAACTGAATATAGTCTGGTTGAACGGGGTGGCTGTTTTTGAAATGACCCTGGGGCATTTTGTAAACCTATCTAATTTTTTCTATCGATACATAAAGTCTTTCTTTTCGTACGACTGTAATTGTTGAAATTTCAGCTTTAAAGCCTCTCTTCGCGGGTCAGAAACCTATCTCAGCCCAGCCTAGGTAGGTGTGATCTAGCGGCGGAACCAGGATTTCGTGCTAAGCAGGGGTCAGCCCATCACTTTTCTGAAGTTCGATCTGAAGTAGTGCTAATAAATTTAAGCCGAATTTCAAGAAAAACTTAAAAAACTGTTTAGGCGGGACTCAGGGCTTTCTAGGCAGGGCTCAACCCAGTCTAGTCCTGTTGGTGGCTCCGCCATTAGTGTGATCCGAACCAGACTTTCAGGGAATGCTGACCATATTAAAGTGTGATAATAAATTTTTTTTCTAGCGCCACTTACAACTGTTCGCGAGAGGGCGCCACAACAACGGCTAAAAATACGCGTCTAGCACGTGCAAGTTGCACGTGGTAGACGTGCAACTTGCTCTATACCGTTGACCTGGAATGAAAATCCCGAATTTAGTGGCGTAACCAGAAACTGGCTATAGATATGGCGGTGGTCGTACCGCCTCCCAAAACTTTTTGGAGGTAGTGTCTGCCAAATTCTGCAGTGGGTACGGCGAAAGTACCAATAGGTACGGCGGCCGCCGTACCTCACCGTACCTTGGTTACGCCACTACCCGAATTCTCATTTCAAGTAAACGATATCTCGGTTCTTTT